GAGTAGTGTATACAGCGCGGTATACACTGTGCGCGACACGTATGCAATTCGCGGGGAAACAAGAGTGCTTAACGTTCGACGAGACGCGCGACTTAATGAAGCACGAGCGAAATGTTTAACCGCGCGCGCGCGAGCTTTCCCCCGTAAAAAGCCTTTTTTTTTAAACGGTCCTCTTTCGTGCACGTCTAATTCGATTTTCACGCAATGACACCTCGCGATTGACAAATGCACGCCACGGCCCGGGAGTAAATGGAGCAGTTAATTTGGAGGCGGTTAACTTGCTAGCACACTGCAAATTTGCTAAGGTATATATGTTTACACTTTGCTCATTCGACTCGCGAATAATTAAATGTCCCGCGTGACACAAGTGCATTCATCAAATGCTCGATGAAAATCGTTTCTGGAGGACTGGTGTGGAATGCGGTGATACAAAACGTAGATATTTCTCTTGAGAAGGGTCGCATCCGAGCCCGTAGAATCCTCGCTAGATCACAGCTAGAATGTGCTCGTTTTCTGTCACGTATAAAACGGAAACTGACATACTATTACCCAGTGCATTCTATCATCTTCTCGATGTCAGAATAGTTGACGGTTTATATTTCATGAGTAACTTCCACGTATACGTATATCCCTATAGACGCAAGCCGAAAGGCAATAATATATATATATAACGTTATGATTATTAAAACTTTAGTACAATAATCTTGTTGGACGCGAACAAGCACGCCATTAGTACATAGTTTACTTTAACGTCTCGGCACTTATTATCTTTATCTTTGATCTACGTAGGAATGAATTTCTGGAAAAAGCGTTTCAACAATTTTCGAGCGCTCGCTGCGAGCCGAGCCGAGCGCAGGCAATCTTGCGTGTCGCGAAAATGTCATGTATTTGAGAATGCATGCTCGGCACGCGTACGGCATTTGGGAAACGCGACCGTGTAATCACACGGTTACCGGGCAAGCATCAACTCGTAAAATCTCGAACGACGGGATGAACGCCGGGAGGGAATGGGGCGACGGGAGCAGGACGATCGGGCACACGTATGCGACGCGTATAATGCATGCATCACGTAGGCGAGCAAGAGAGCAGGCGAGAGATGGATGAACCTGGTGGCCGGGTCAGGCTGTGATGCCTGTGATGCACAAAGGGTAAAGTAACTTGATACACACAAGTCGAGTCTTGATATGCAAAGCGCGTGTGCGACCGTGGCGCGTATATCCGGCGCCACGGCTTGAAAATCCTACGACGACGACGACGACGACGTCAAGAATCGCGCGCCGGCTTGGAAACGTTACTCACGACGTCGGGAACCGCGCCGCTTAATAGCGTTATTTTTTTATTCCGCGGCAAAGTAACGGGGCTCCCTTCCGCGCGCTGCACGTGCCGCATTTACTTACGATTGTAACAAGTTGCCGCGCACCACGCGGAGAAGTCGGTTTTACTATTTCGTATAGCGAGTTATGATAGCGAACGCTGCAAATTCACAAAGAGGCAAACGATGTTTCCGAAGCAGAATTACAATTGATGGTTATAGCGTATAAGCAGTTACTATAGTTACTCTCTTATTTATAATATATTCAAAACTTGGTAATATAATCGTAATCATAGCAATAAATAATAATAAAAGTAATCGCAGTCCTTTTAATTAGTGGCGTGCGTACGATATAAGTGTCTCCACGATTCGAAGAAATTTACGACAGACCGGAAAAATCTAATTCAACTACCTTGAACCCCGGATTTCCCGTGCACTTTTCTCTCGCTGTTTCACAGTAATGTCACACTTTATTGTGCATTATAATTGGCAAGGATACGTTGCGAAGGTTACAGTCAAGCCTTTAGCCGGGAGTCAGACGTGGTTTATGCGCTACTAAACCTGGCTCATTAAAATTTTTAAGTCGCGGACCGCGAGACTTTTACAATCCTGTTTAGATCCCGCAGCACATCAAGATGTAACATTCTTTTTATCGTGAAAGCTGCTCGACGTGATAGAAATAATTGAGTAATAAATTATTTTTTTTTATCTGTGTAGAATTCTTCCGCTCGCACGTAATACTCTAGCTATAAAGTTCCATTTCCACAAAAGAATATGTCGAATGAATATTCTTATTTTAATTTTTCTTTAAAATATTTTCATGATAGATCAAGTTTTCTTTAAAAATTAAATACGTAAAATTAAATTTTTAAATATATATTATAAAGACAGAGATAGAAAGAAGGAAGGGGGAAGGGAGGGAGGGGAGAGGAGAGAGAGAGAGAGAGAGAGAGAGAGAGAGAGAGAGAGAGATGGGAGAGAGCAAAAGGGGAGAACGGAGACAGAACGAGGGTGGTGGAGGAGGGGTTGAAACGCGTAGGGACACCAGAGCCATAAGAGGGTTGATGGCGGCCGGGGTTGGCCCCAGTAGCACAGTCGCGCGCCAAACACCCGTAAGAAAGCACGTAGCTGGTGGTTCGAACGCTCTCTCGCGCAACCTGCGCTCCACGTCGACGGACGGATTTCTCTTTTTTTTTTCAACGACGACGAGTTCGAGGGTTCGGGCCGCTGACCCGTCGCCTCCGTCGCCGCGCACCTTCGCGCCCGCACCCGAGGGGGTTGACACTACCTGTGGACTATCGTTGGGGCCGGTGACTCGAGACCTCAAGCGGGGGTTTTTTTTTCTCTCCTGAAAAGACTAAAGTCTCGCCGTGGTTGGAGCGCTCGAGACGATCGAAGTGGAAGGGTGGATTTAGCAGGTAAACAGCAATCTATTATTAGATGTTAATCACTGGTAAACACAAAGACATCAACCTCGGGTGGCTGGTGGAACGCTATGGCACAGCTGCTGAGAACCTTTGTCTGGTTGTCAGCTGTCTTGATAAGTGTAATTTCGGATTGTCCGTTTGTCGATCGGGTTAAACATTGTTGTTTCAGTGGCACTTTTATTTGTACTATTAATTGCATGGTATAATTATTTCGCCCAAAAAAAGGAAAATTACTGCGAGGCAATGATTTAATTAAGAAATGAAAATTGCACGAGGTTTTACGTTATACGCAGTACATTTCATATAGAAAAGATATTCTAGTAAATTCCTGCCTATATCCGAAAGATAGTTGTATTCGGGTTGACGAAGATTAGGATTTACACTTATAAACGGTGCCGAGAGAGTATCAGTGCATTCACCATTGAGCACGAGACGATCGTGCTCGTCGCGTATTTCGCGCTGTCGGCGATGTTTATGCCCGCGTTTCGCGAGCTGCGTTACATTTTGCGTTTACTGGGCGCCCTGACATAATGCAAAAGTTTCCGAACGGCGCCAGATGCGACTCCGTCCGCGAGCGAGAGATACGCGCGCTTGTGTGTCGCGCTCGTTACCGAGAAAGTAGTCTAATTTACCAGAGTGTCTCGTCCGACACAAATTCTGGGAGACCTATCCCCCTGTAGGCTCCATCCTCGCAAACGACGACGCACAAATGCTTCCTGATTAGTGGAAACTTTCGAAAATCCCCTGTCTCGAAATTTATTTCAATCCTCCTCGCGGTGCGGCGGGACAAAATATTATGTCGCGACATAGAGATCCGTAAATAACATTCGAGAACAAACTTGTTCTTACGGATATATCACCATAATTTGAAAAATAATTACATATCCAATAATTGAGATTAATTTAATTTTTAAACATCGGAAAATATCAAATATCATTTTTTAAATTAGCGGATACTTTCAGTTATCGATATTTATCAGTTTTAAAATATATACATATTTTAACGCATGAGTATATATTTATATAAAAATGAGCCATATTATATAAACAATTATAAGCGCTATCTCGAGAGAATTAATCTATAATGACTTAAAAGAGCGGATAGTAAAAGCTGTTTGAATTAATATAAAAAAATGTAGCATTTCATATACGTTAGTAATAGCTGCTCGCACCTTTATGACGATGATTGTGTAATTATGTCAAACGGATCACGCGATGGAGCTCCGGCTCGATCTCGTCCATTATCGCGAAACAAAGTAGCCGAGCGAGCTCATTATGCTGCGCGCTGATCGGACGTGTTGCACAAGTGCAACTAGACGCAATATTGTGCCGAACTGGCAGCGGGTACACGACAATTTGCCTGACGATTCATCGCTTAAGCGTCGTGAGATTAACGCGCTGCACGTGCTGGCAAACGCTGCAAAATTGAATCTTCACAGCACGTTGCAGACTTCTCTCTCTCCCTCCCGCTCCCTCTCTCTCTCTCTCTCTCTCTCATCGATAAATAAACATTTTTATAATTTCTGCATTTAGAATTGAACAGAATAAGTTTTAAAAGTAATGATTAAATTTGCTTTTCATTTCTCTCGTGAAAAGCGCCAGTTTCCATTGGTCGAACAGCATAAAAAAAAACATAAAAAAGTAAAAAAGATATTCATGAAAACTCGACAAAGTATAATCGTTTCATCAGTAAATGGTTATTTCACACAATGAAGGACATTGAGTGCCAGCTGTAATCAATCGAACGACAATTATTTCATGGCTAATGCCCGATGAACTCAAAAAAGCATATTATTAAACGAGAGGAGACCAGAAATAATCTGTGACACAATTCTGTAACGCTTTACATAGCGCTACAAATTCTATTTTCTTATGTCTATACGGAAGAGACCAATAACCTTGCTCCTCAAGATTGCATTTTATATATTCGATACCATAATCTTTCCATAAATGAATAGATTTCAATACATAACAAGATTATTTAGAAGGCCATTATTCTCGGCAATTGCAAATTTCTTTCGCCGCAATGTATCAATGAAAGCTTAAAAACGCCAGTAACGGTCTCACGATATCTAATCCTTAATGGTTATTAATCGAGCCTCCCCTAAGCTTTCCGTTCAATGGGAGATTTACGATGCGGTCTAGTCTGCTTTTTATCCCGTTTTGCGATAAATTCGCGATTAATAACGCGCGGCGGCATGATCAAGGCGAAAGGCTGAGGACCAGGCAGATTAACCAGTAGAATTCAAACATCGACTTACCAACGGTCAGAATCCTCCCTCCAGCTGAGTGTGGTGTGTAAATCCACGTCGACCGTTCGCAGCATCCGGTCCTCGTGCCCGGAATAATCTGTATTGTCCGAAACACGCTCCGCGCCGATTCACCCTCGCGAACGCGTCAACAGATGAGGGCCACCCTCGTATTGCATGTGCCCACACTCGCTCGTGCACGAAGTCAAGAGTCACGGGAAACGCACTGCTGGACCGCGTGAAAAGCGCGAGTTTAACTCTACGCGGGATTAATTCGCGACACCTCGAGTCACATCCGACGAGAAATTTCGATCGCGCCGGGACAAAATGCACCTGAGTCCGCGCCAGGACAAGCCCAATCTGTCCAGTAATACGTTGAACGGCCCGATAACAGAGCGATAATCGAAGGAATGTTCATTTCTGCAGGTCACTATAACTCCTGTTATGTTACATACGAGAACACGCTCGGAAACTGGGAACGATCAATCATTACGTGTGATGTAGTTATTAAAGGCGCGACTGAACACGAGATACGAAACTACGATCGGACGATTCCTATAAATTATCGACAGCCGGACGAAGTTTGGCCGACATCGACCGGCGATGATAACGCTCTAATGATTTCTCCAGTTCCCGTGCAAACTCTCACGCTCACGGAAAAGTCCAGGAAAGTTTCGCGACGGCGGGAAAGAAGGGAGGGAGAGAGAAAGAGAGAGAGTGACGAAGTACACCGGTTTCGACCATAAAGCATTCTCGACGAAATCTCGCTATCCTAAGATAACCGCCGTCGTCGGCGATGATAATCGAACGACAACGACGACGACGACGAGGATGAGTGCGAGACAAGTTTCAGTTCGCACGTATAAGCATCAAACTTTCCGATGAATAATCCCCGTAGTCGGTTGCTCGTGCCCCTGTATCCCGAGGAGGGGTCCCCGAGAGCGAGATCCGTGATTCCGCGATCGCGTCTGGGTGAACATTCCGCTACCGATTTACCCCGAAATTTGATCCCGGCACGTTCATTTCCGCACGATTATCGACTACGTACGCGTGCGGTTCTCTCCGTACCCGGTAATCACCAACTTCCCAACGATTCACCGGTCAAATCACCGAGGACACTCTCGACTATCTCGCATCGCCCCCGATAGCTATATCGGTGTTCGAGGAAAGCGTGTCCAATATTTAACACTGTGGAGTAGGTCACGATTATTACGTCGGACTTACGCAGGCGAAGAACATCGTTCTATACGCGCATTAATCCTGAAGGATCTTGACGCTATTGAACTTGGTAACTTATTTTCGACGAAAAGTTGGACGAAAGATACGTTGGAGAATTTTTTTGCCACGATTTTCCGCGCCGGTCGGCGAGGAGTCGCTGTCAAGGAATATTATGTCGTAACGTGCTGGCAGAGTCACGCGCGGATAGCACGTGACGCCCGTGTGTGACGTTGTCGTGACGGCGAGAGACGAGGGAGACGTAGAGTCTACGTTACCCCTGTAGGCACGCGGGGCGCCCGACGTCTGGTCGGGTCTGTGTACCGGGGTGCTACTGGGGATAGCCGTATGCTTGTTTTTGCAGAGCTACGCGGCGAGAGAGTGAGACTGGGAGCATAGTGGGAGGATACAGGGTGAGAGAGGGTTGACGAGCGAGAGAGAGAGAGAGAGAGAGAGAGAGAGGAGACGCGGAGGATGAGAGGGAGGTACGAGACTGGTCGAAGCGAGACAGGCAATTTGGTGGAGTGGATGAACGAGGACGGCGGTAATAGTGGAGCGGAAGAGCACGAGAGGGTTGACAGGAGGATGGAGCAAGTGGGAACGGACGGAAGAGGAGAAAGAGAGAGAAAGAGAGGGACCAATCTCCGTCGGGCGGACTCGGCTGGCCTCGACGACGAGCGACGTCGCGACGGCGCAGCAGTCACCAGGACTACCATCCCTCTCTTCTATACATTCTCTCCCTCCCGTCGCGAGATGGGCGACCCTCCACGCCACCATCCACCTCATGCTGCTTGCCGACCCCGTACCCCGCACCTTTTCCAGGGCCACGGATCGATCCCGACGTCCGTCCGTGCATCCGTACGTACATCCGTCCGTAAACTTGCCGCCACGGCCGTTATGCCGGTACATCCGCGATCAGCCAAGACGTATGTACGAGTGTCTACGTGCGTGACAAGACGCGTGCAAGTCTCATCGTCAGGTACGCGTGTCAAATTTGCGACATCGAGTCGACAGGATCTCGCGGATCTCTGTGAAAATCTCTGAGAGAGAGAGAGAGAGAGAGAGACAGAGAGAGAGAGAGACAGAGAGAAGTGCACTCGATTGTAGGACGTGTCGTTTCATTTCGCTCAAGATAAAAGTTGGCCGTGGACCGCGTGTATGCGTATGTTATTATTGCTAAAGGCGCATGTCCAATTCGTATAGCGTCTATTCATGCCTACACTGTAGATCGTGAAAGTAGTTTAATCTGTCTCGCGGATTCTTTTTCCTCGAGTACCTCGTTACGCGGTGATTAACGGGATTCCGGGAGGATGGGCTAAGCCGCGAAGTTAGCTTGAAAAGTTAACGAACATTATTTCGAACGGTACGGACTACAATTGTAAGTTACGACGAGAACACGTATGCACGTTCGCCAAGTTCGTCTTTCGTATGTTTGGTTCTTGACAATTCGCACAGTAGTATATCGCAGCCGGCCGAGTCTCGTGTTGGTGCGAACTTACACAACAGCCATATGCGCGCTTATCTGCTGACATTTCGTTTTAGTGGCGTGCACTAAACTCGCTCGCGCACGCACGTTGAATTTCGTAGCTAGTAGTACACTTGCAATTTCTCATGATGCAAGAGTATGCCGCTAGTAAGATCGGAGGTTTACTTTACCATTAAGAGAAACGGTTTTTCACTTTACAAAGTGATAAACGAGTCAGTGCGAATAGCTTCCTCTCTCAAGCTTGCCAGGGCAATCCATTACGCGGAAAACTGATATATTTGACACAAGATAAAATATCCAACTTGAAAAGACTATATAATGTCAAAAATAAAAATTTCAAGAATGGCTATTGTCAAATGAAGACAGATTGTACCAGCGAGAATTATTTCACACCAACGAATACCTATATATGTATACTAATAGAGAATATATGTATATATATATATAATAATATACATATGTATATATAATAATAATTCTTAGTTCGTATAGTTATTCTTGAATTATATTCGTCAGAGATTGTCAAGTAATTGATACTCAAAATAAAGTTCCAAATTTCAAGGCATAAAGACGATTCATGTAACAATACTTTGATTAAAAATTAAAATAAATGAGATAGAAGTTGAGTAATTATATGCATTAAGTAACCATTAAAGTATTGTACGATTTTTATCTAACATCTCGAAATAATACATTTATGCGATAATATAAAATAAAATTAAGTTATTGATAAACTATGTAGGCTATAAAAAGATCAGGATAAAATTGGCGCATTATAGGATAAATGACTGATGGTCATTAGCATGTCTCTTATTAAATAAATTAATTGGTGGCATGTAATTAAAATAATTCATGTCTCTTTATTTGTTTTGTATTTGATAAGCATATTGAGTTTATTTATTTATATACTAATAATATGTGCGCATATTTAAAAAATCTTTATGATATTTTCTTGCACCAATTTTTATAATATTTAATCCTGGAAGACTGGGAGACTAAACGCAAGCCTCAAATTCCATTAAAAGAGTTTGGTAAAAGAAAAAAAAAATTATGCATTTAAATATTAATAAATTTTCTCTACTCTATATTTTACAAATATTAATTTATTAATATTTTATATATATAAATATTTTCTTTCGATCTGCGACGTTCGTAAAATACGTATATAAAAAAATTCCAATTTAAATTTAAAAGCTTTAGAGTTCTAAAAACATCATAATTAATTATAATTTAATTCTAATTCTCTTTTTTCTACTTTCTTATTTTCCTAATTAATTAACTCAACAAAAATTTAATTAATTATATAATGCATTAATTATATAATGCGTTTAGTACTAAAACCATTAATATTATTAACATATCTTTTTATAGTATGTATGCAATTCAGATTTTGTAAAACTCTTGCTTGTACATATACAAGAAAATGTGCTCTAGGATTAAATATTTTAATCCTTATCTGTTTTAGCCTATTCGTTTTAAAGCAACAAATCTATGAAATATCATATTTATCTATAATATTTTTTTGTTATACTCGTCAAAATTTAACTTAATATTTAGATATATCTAATGTATCTAATAATTTTTTTCATAAAAAATTCGTTACTTCAATATAAAATAAAAGATAATTTGAAACTCACGAGAACGATACGCTGCAACAGCGGAGTTATGAACTATGTTGGGAACTACGTTGAAACTGTAAAATACAAATATATTCAAGTTATTAAAACGTCCAGGATAATTAATGCTTTTTTCCTTATTTATTGCGCGCATTGAATTTTTTATTCATCTTTGAATAAATATTTAATATAATAATTACACATAATTTTTGCAATTCTTTTCTCCCTTTTTTGAATGCAATTCTCTATAATATTTCATGAAATTCTTACTTAAATATTCGAATAATTTGCGTCGTTCGAAACAATCTGCATATATATAGAGAAATAAATATCGCAAATAATAAATTGTATACACTCACTCTCATGGTTGCCTCCCTGGCCTTCTCCTCCTCTCAGATTCGTTGGCTGCAGTTAGCAAAACACTCGCGAAAATACAATTAATTATTGCGGTCGCACGAGACTTTGTGCGGCACTCCCGAAGCGGCTGTAACAATATACCGAATACGACGATCGCGCGAGACTTTGTGCGGCACTCCCGAAACGGTTGTAATAATAAGACGATCGCGCGAGACTTTGTACGGCACTCCCGAAACGATTGTAACAATACGACTATTGCACGAGACTTTGTACGGCACTCCCGATCGCGCGCGCGCGCGCTTGGGAATTTAGCTCCTCCTTTGGAATAAATCCTTCAGGTATCTCCAGAATCCTCCCATCATGTCGAGTATCCATGGCAGAGAATCATCTACAAAGAGACGCAATATTAATAGGCTTCAAGAAACGATCTTCAAATGCCGTGTATATCAGTCAATTCGATGCTATTACGAAATGTATTCAACTGTAAAATGCATATGCATCTATTACTCTAGAGTTCTCAGTTTAAAAGTAGCGGGCAAATTATTTTCAACTTGATGAGAAGCGCGATACAAAATGTATTCCGATTAGCGAGCAACATTAAGGCGGAATCGTCATAAATACGAAACAACAATTTATAATCTTCGTTCTCCCTCGCTTCGATTTTCTTCTATTTCGAACGACTAATTCAGATGAAATATCCATCTCGACAAGCAATCATCGCTTCGATGCAATCGGAAATTAAAATAGTCGATTGTATCACACAAATTAATTGATCACACGAATGGATAATTATTCGTACAAAATAATCGCGATAAAAAAATAATCATAATATTAATAATATTATTAATAAAAATTGATTTCCATGAATATTTTACCAATCAAAACGAGGGTAAATTTTATTTCTTAAATAAATTTAACGATATAAAATTTAACGATTCATACCAAATTTAAAAAAAAAAGATAATTTTAGACGATAGAAATATGTGTCGTTTTATTTTATTAATATGTGACATCAAAAATTTATACGTAAAATATATCATTCAATATTATTTTTCAAAATACGAAAATATAATTTTTTAGAATTTTTATTTCAACGTTTTATAAATTCTTTCTTAAATCTCAAGTCAGATCTTTTCCACAAATATAACTGTTTTTTTTAAATCGTCTCTGAAATACATTATAAAGTAATGTACAATATTTTTCGATTCAACACTCGATTGATACGAGATTAAAAAATGATTAATGTACACTTATACCTATATAATATATCCCGTTTCAAGAATCGATTATTGAAGCATGAGAGATAGAACTCAAGCCATGTCTCAAGACAAACTCCATCTCAGTTCTTCAGCTGAATTACAATGACATTACGAATATCAAATTGACTCTCAAGATCCATTTATTGTATCGCGTCTCAAGCCTGAGTCACTGAACCTGAGTTCTTCAACGGAAAGACAGCTATAAATACAGATTTTATTAATTTTAATTGTAAGCTCGTCAACGTTAACTTTTTAATATTCGACACGATCCCGTTAATCTTATTCGCATTATATGCCAATTGCGTATGCGAATTCCAAGCTGCGGTAGAATCTTACGTATGTTACAAGTTTACAACCTGATATCGTAACGATACGGAGAGCGTGCGTTGCACGTATCCCTGTTAGCCAGTTTGGTATTTGTGTGTACCAACGTAACTTAGCAAATACGCCCGCTCGTGTGTACCGTCGCTCGTGTGCGCCATCCGCGTTAAATTCATGGGAACATATGGGCCGTGTATAATCATTGCGATCCTAAAAGATCCACGGAGGAAAAGCGTATATAAGT